TGACAAGACTGCTTCGCCGCACATATTTTGTTGCAGGCCCGAGCTTACTAGCATCACATTCATCATATCTTTCAATGTGCGGTTTTTTCTTTCGGCAGCACCGTTTGATTGAGGTGAATAGGGTGCGGTAAGTTCATGTACTATACCCACGACATAGCTATAGCGAGTGCTATCATCGATAAAAGTGATAAAATATTTATTACCACCACATGTTTGTATTGATTTAAAATCACAAACGTCACTATGAATTAATTTAAGTGGTTCCGTTTTTCTTTCAATCAATTCGAAAGACGTTTTCGTTAGTTTTGTCTCTACACAAATTTCACATTTGTGCTTCACATCAATTTTGAATTTAGGAATGTGTTCCATGTTAACTAAACTACGTATAGATTCAAAATTAACATGTCTTAGTCTACCATGTCATACATTGGAAGACTCAAGCAAATAAGGAGAAGAGATTTTATTATTATTATTATTATTATTATTATTATTTTTATTATTATTATTATTATTATTATTATTATTATTATTAGTCATTACACTCAGTTTAAACAGCTCATCAACTGCATACACATACACTTTGCCCACATACATTTCTGATTTTGACAAAACTAGTTTGTCTGACTCAAAAATCATGCGGAAGTCATGTTTGTTCAACAACGAATCGGAAATCAGGTTTTTGCGTATCTCCGGGAACGAACAACACTTGGTTGAGAGTCAGCTCCTTGCCCGAAGTCATCTTCAAGACCACTTTGCCCACACCTTCCACCGCGGAATGGGCTGAATTTCCCATCCACGCATTCTCACCATTTGATGGTTCAAAGGTCGTGAATAGCTCTCGGTTAGAGCAAATATGTCGGGTAGCTCCGGTGTCGACAAACCACTCCTTAAAATTGGATCAAACGAGGTTGACCTTGATCACCACGACAACAAGGATAATGTCTTCATCTTTTTGCCCACCTTGCACAAAGTTGACTTGAGAGTCTTTCTTCTTCTTGGGTGCCTTGCAATCCGTGGACTTGTGTCCGTTTTTGTTGCACTTGAAGCATTTCCATTGAATATAGGTTTGTAAATGCCTCCCTTGAGACCGAGCTCGCTCTTCCGATTATTCTTGTTCTTGGAGCCCTTTGCATGCTTCAACACGTTTGCCTTAGCGCCATCAACGATTGGGAGTTCTTCCGGTTATCCTCTTCAATCCGGAGACGAAGGATCAATTGCTCCAAGTTCATTTTCTTTCGCTTATGCTTAAGGTAGTTCTTGAAACCATTCCAAGTCGTCGACAATAAATGGATAATTGACGTCACTTGGAAAGACTCATTAACCGTCATTTCTTCATCTCGAATTTCATTGAAGATCATTTGCATCTCCTCAACTTGACTCAAGACAGTCTTCGAATCCACCATTTTAAAGTCAATGAATCGGCCGACAACAAATTTCTTTGCACCAGCATCCTCACTTATGTACTTATGGTCCAAAGCATTCCGTAGCTCCTTAGCCGTATTTATGCTATAAACATTGTAGAGAGCATCATGCAACTCGTTCAACACGTAGTTTTGGCAAAGGAAGTCTGAATCCTTCCATGCCTCAATCGCGTTGAGAGATTGCACATCCACCTCACTTCCGGTTACAATCAGATCATTCTCGGTCAAGAACCTGGCAAGACCAAGAGTAGTGAGATAGAAGAGCCTCTTTTGTTGTCATCTCTTGAAGTTTAACTCATTGAACTTTTCGGGTTTCTCCACACAGTTGCTCGACACGGTAACCATAGGGATTGCCCCATGGTTGCCCAAAGTAGATGCTCCGCTTTCAATCCCGGACCAGATCGTACTTAAACAGACCAGACCAGACTTAAACAGACCAGTCCGGACCAGACTTGATTTCCGTATTTATAAAGTACACAGAGACAAGACGTTTACCAGACCAGACCAGACCAGTTCAGACCAAACTAGACCAGATCAAACTTAAACAGACCATACCATACCAGACCAACAAATTACATTCTAAGTAAAAACATCCTAAATGGCCACTTCACCACCCTTTTTTTCTTTGATTTTGTGCATAAAAATTGTGTAAAATTCTTTATTTTATTCTTAAATGGTATTCTCATCATTTATTTCCTTGATATAGTAGTAGTAAGTTTGTTGTCCACACAATTATTAATGCGCAATTACTAGTTGGTATTACCTCCGTCCCATTAAATTGGATGAGAAATCAGAAATGTTAAAATGTGTATATGAAATTTGTGCTAATGAGAAAGAAACGAACACAACCATAATTTAATGAACATGTGACAATTTGTTTGGGAAATCCAAAGAAAGAAATTTGACAAATTCAATGAGACAAAGAGAGTAATATATATGTAAAAAACCTTTATAATCAAACCAAGAATTTTATTAAGGTTACTTTATTAATTAGTTGTACTTTTATTCCTTCAAAACAAAAACTCCTATTCTTAAAGAGCATTTGGTAATCCTTATTTACAACTTATCAATTTTATCGGTCAATTCTTTTTACCAAACACGTAACTTTTGATTATTTGCGTTGAATTGTTTCATAATCAAAATAAGTAAGGTTGAGATTACTGTTCTAGCTGAATTATCTAAAGTTACAGTAAATGATTATTTTTGTTATTTTTAATTATATTTTGTATTTATTTTGTTAACAAAATATGTTTTAAAATAAATTCTCATAATTCAGTATATTAGGTCAATTCAGCCGTCTCTTTTAGAATTTCATCCCAGTAAACTTACTCAATTTTAGTGTTACAAAATGAGTTCTTGAACTTCTTTCTAGGGGTGGACATAAAACCAGAACCGAACTGATATCGAACCGGCCCGTAATGGTAACGAATCGAATACCGGGTATTTAAATGGTTGTATATATTTTTGTCCTGAATCGAAACCGTATTGTTTGAAACGCGAACGGGACTGGTCCTAGATTTTGAGAACCACAAAATACCGGACCAGACCGTTAAAAAATAATGCATTTGAAAATTTTACATTTTTTTCATACCAGTAGTAAATCTCTTTTATAGACCAATAATTTTATAGTTCAAGTATGTATTCATGCGTCCCTAAAATATCTACATGTGTGTAGATTAGTTTTTCGACGCGCGATGCGTGAGGCAATGATGCCCAATACCATGTGGCTTGTGTTATACAAATTGTAGGGAGTTGAAATAAATCATTAATTATTTCAAACAGTTATGCAGGTGTTGCAGGTGTGTGCTTAAGTATAGGTACCATAGAAGGGTAACAAGATTGTTGGAATTGATTGTGTTGTAGTTGACATCACTTTTCATAATGCATTAGAACACCGAAAATCAGCTTGCTTGAATTCTCAATGATCATAAAACGTGAAAGATATTTTTACACACATTTGTTAGGATGAGGGTGCCTACATAAGTTCTTTAAGAGACAAATGCTTTGATTAGACAATTTTATTGTTATGTTACCATAGAGGTTGCTTACTTAAAGTATAGAACACTTACTGTTGTACCTGAACTCCTGAAGCTTTTATGAGTTTTTTTATTGTTGTGCTTTAAATATATAGATGTAATAATCATTTGGTCTCTTTCATAGTTTCTGAACTTTGCAGACTTGGGGATTGAAAGGCAACATGAAAGTCTAAGAGGAGGTTCAAACTCCAAAGAGAAGCATAAAAAAAACAGAGGGCCAAGGACAAAAAGAAATATATAGTATAATGCTCACATATTGAAGGTGCTATGCAATAACAATGATACATTTTTATTTATTGAGATGTTGTCCTATTGGTTGCCCCCTTTTGTATTCTAATTTTAAAGCTACTAAAGAAGACATATCCCATCTAACATATATACTTGTATAACGAGACATAGAGCCCGTTTGGTGACCCATTTTTTCAGCTTATCAGCCTTATCAACTAGCTTTTTCACCGAACACGTCATTTTTGATTTCACGCGCTGAAGTTTGTAATAAGCATAAAAAGTAAGATTGAAGTTACTTTTATGGTTGTTTTGGCTGAATTTAGTGTAGATGATCATTTTAACGATTTTTCATATAATTTTTTATTTAATTTATTGATAACAAATATTTGAAATGTAATTTTTTCATGAATCAGCAGAATCAGCCAATACATTCACTTCAACTAGAACTTCGTAAATTTCAGCAGAATCAGCCAATTCAATCAATTTTAGTGTTGCCAAACGGACTCATAATTTTTAAACCTCCTTTGGCTTATTCTTTTTTACAATTGAACCAATCAGTTATTGAGACATACAACACACATATATCTATGTAAGAGGACCCTGCATTAGGAAAGTGGACTCTACATCAGTTCACAACATCCAAGTAAAAAAAGCAAACAAGTAAAATATACTATGTACATGGTATATCCAATCTATCCACTTAGCTTAAAGTTGTTACTTATTTCCAAGGAAAAGAAAAATCCAATCTGCAACCTTTGTAACCTCTGTCTAACGAATTGGGCACTTGTAAGATTTGTCCAATGTATTTAACATTGTATTGTAACTGTTTTGTGCGGTTTCTAAACGAAGTTTTACCGAATGGTTACATCCTTAAAGCAAGATTTTACCGAAGCATGAGACGGATATATTACGAATTATACTAATTTATCGGACCGTTCCATACTGCCACCACTCTAGTGTTGTTTTGATTACAATCTGGTACCGGTGGACGTAGCTCAACTGGTAGCAAGGGAGTGCCACAAGGGTTAAGTCCCGGATTCGAATCCTGACAACTGCGATAAAGGGTTACTATGTTAAAAATGCATAAAGCCTCTGCAAGTATCCGGAACAGAGCCCCACTCTCTATCTATTGTGATTATAGTCCAACGTACATCCTCTCAACGTACAACTGCGATGAGGGGTTGGACCCTCAGGGTAGGGGCCCACTCTCTATCTTTTTTTTATTACACTCTGGTCCCACGGTTACAATTTCTTTTCAATGTTTTGATGGAATAGTAAAAAATAAACCGATTGAACTATATATATCATCATGTAGCTTGATGGGATCCCTTCCCGGTGGCGTTTTTAAATCGTCAACGAGAGATTAGGCAGTACTTTACAGGCGTGTCAATGACCCGCATATGAAACGTCTCAGGTGACCAACTCTTACATTGGAATTTCCGCTTTGAAGTCTGAATTACTGCTGTTTGGCTTCGAAGCGAGAAAAAAGAGGGATGGGAGGTGATTTGGAATCTATAGCGGAGGCCACCTCCGGAGCCATTGGAGCTGTAGTCAGCACCACCATCTTGTATCCACTCGATACCTGTAAAACCAAGTACCAAGCCGAGCTTCAATCTCATGGTCAGCGAAAATACAGGTCTTCTTTTATGTTATCTCTGTTCTAGTTTTTCTCTCTCTAGCGCCTGATCATTAATTGTCTTATTTGAGGATATTGCTGTTCAAAGAGATTAACTTTTTTAGTAATCATTTATCTTGTTCGTTTTCTTGAGTTTTTTTATTTGCTAGCCGCCATAAAATGCGAACTGGACTTTCTGTCGGCTATCGAGGTTAAGTTAGACTTGAACCATATTCCGAAAATTGAAGTCTTTTTCATGTTTAAAAGCTTCAGCTTGAAACAAAGATGCAATTGTTATTGATCTTTATATAGTTTAGCTATGATATTTGATTTCCCGGTGCATATGTATATGGGTATCATTTTCATTTTCATTTACCCCAGTGCCGCAAAGGTGTAGGTGGGGTAAGGGGGTCGGATGTACGCAGTCTTACCCCTGCTGTACTAAAGCACAGAGAGACTGTTTCCGGATGACCCATAGTGAAAATCGCGTCCAAAATTGCATGGACTGACTACTGCTTCATAACAAAGAAGCGCAGACAGTTTAGTGAGCCATTTTGCTTTATTCCATCATAATCTCAAGCCAAAAAATAATGAATCTTTGGCTCCATTGCAAATGATGGAAGGCATATGTATATGGGTATATGCTTGCTTAATTCTTCCTTATCATAAAATTTTCACCTGTTTAAAGGTATTATTTTGAGGTCTTCCTATGGAAGAATTACATATGCTTTGAACCAAAACATGAGCCCTCGTCTTCTAGCGTATATCACCAACGAAATGTGCCATTCAGTTGTGTGATGTTTTTCAAATATGTATATATTGTGAATACTTCATACTTTTGAACCAAAAAGTAGTTTTCTAAGAGTATGTAGTATTTTCTAGTAATACGTTCACTCATTCGCTTGTTAGTGCGTAGCAGACACCCCACAGCTCTTTTTATCATGATACTTCTCAAAGCTTTCATGGTTTTAGGTGCCTGTTCATCTACCAATTTACCATTCATCATTTGCTGCATAATGAAATAGAATGCTGGCATTACCTTGTGCGGTAATCTGCACACTTCAACTCCATCTGAAAGGGACAAAGGCATGTAGCCTGCCATATATCTCTTGTTGCTTAAGTCACTTGAACTGGAGTCAATCCAGATCGGTGGGCTTTACATCTTAACAGTGTAAACCTGAGTTGTTCTTTTGGTAATACAGAACTTATTTACATATTTCTGCAAGACCAAAACAAGGTTTCTTATGCCCTTTGCAGGAATATATCAGATGTTCTTTTGGAGGCATTATCAAAGGGTCGGTTCCTTTCATTGTACCAAGGTCTTGGAACGAAGAATCTGCATTCGTTCATCTCTCAGTTTGTTTATTTCTATGGGTATAGTTACTTTAAGAGACTCTATTTGGTAAGAAGTGGTGGTAGATCCATCGGAACAAAAGCCAATCTGATTATTGCTGCTGCTGCTGGGGCTTGTACTGCCATTGTGACTCAAGTAAGATTGTTATTTTAAAATATTTGTTCTTTGATTACAAAGATACTACATACTATCTTAACTCATTACTCTCCTTATTTTTATGCATGTGAGAGACCTATGCTGATGCCTTTTTGAATTCCATCCATAGTTGTCAATGGTGAGATATGGTGCGTGCCATTTGCGTCATCGCCATGAAAAAATGGTCGTCGCCATAGCGCCATATGTGCCATCACCACGCGCCATGAAAAATGCCTTTGTGCCATGCCGCTCACCATGCGCCATGACAAGCTTGATTCGATCTCATTATTCCTTCTTTTGAAGGTTTCGACCATGGATCGACACATCCGTGATTTTGATTGATATTTTTTGCGGTATTTACTTTTTTGGAGGTTCAAAATACAAGAATGTTTGATACTGATCAAGTATTGATACATTGATAACTACAGCACTAACAATCAGCCTTTATCCGAAATCGATGAGCTCGGCTACATGAACCAACAGAAAACCTACCAAGATCATCAACCAAAACTGTTTTCCCATCTTTCTTGTCATGTACCATAATCTTGTTAAGCACTTAAGCCCCAATGCTCTAATATCCCTTTACACTCCTATCCATGTCATTTTCGTCATTTTCAATATTTTCGTTATGTCTAATTTTTCTACGATATTGAAAATTTGAAAATATTCAGCCATTCTCGTAAAAGTTAAAACTTCGATGTTTCCTTTGATACTGATATTCAACCTTGCTTTCAATCTAAAAAATATCATGTGTAAAGCTTTGTCCCTATTTTCGTGCACGGACTTATGTAGTTAAATTATTCTGGACAATTAAGTAATTGATATTAAATTTTATGCTTCTGGTCCAATATTAGACTTCATTGCAGCTAGGGGAACTACTCAAAAGAACATAAATGAGTTGCTTCTACTTTAATTGCGGTAGGAGTATCATATTTTTCAATGCCTTGATGATTTGAGTGTAACTGTTCAGCGTGGCTCTCTTTATGTGTTTTTGAGCCTTTGCAAATTGCATGTATAAGAGGTAATGATATCCTGGGTTTTAATTGAGACATACTTTAACTCTTGAATGTATCACAATTTTTTGAAAACAGATGGTGTGGATGGACGGGTGCAGTGCTCAGAGAAAGTAGATTCATAGGAATGATGCTTGAGTTTGCATAACCAACTATCAGTTTAGCTTAATCAAGAGCCATATTGTTTAATTTTTTAATATGGAATAAAATGTTTTCTGAATATATTTTTCTTTTGCTTCATGACACTATTTGAAGCACATCTAGGCGCTAGCATGTCTGGAGATCACAGAAGAGAGTCTCTCTCTAATATGCTCACTCTCACCCTCTTTAACTATTAGGATCCTAATGGTAATTATATGTTTTGCAGCCACTGGATACTGCATCATTAAGGATGCAAACTAGTGCCTTTGGGAAGTCCAAGAGCCTTTGGAAAACTCTCACTGAGGGCAGCTTGAGCGAAGCATTTGATGGTCTTGGAATATCGCTTTTATTGACATCCAACCCTGCTATTCAGGTCTGTTTGCCTTTCTCTTAACGTATTTTATGAAGAAATAAACTACAGTGTGTTAGGTATCACTGTTCATTTTTAGTGTTTATCGTCTCAAAAATTTAAAAGTTATTTGATAATATGATATAGGTTGTATACTGTTTTTTTATCTAACCACCATTTAAGAGTCACTCCCTCGTGATAGTGTCTTGCAAAGTTTGTCAGATATCATATTTGGTAATATTTGCGTCGTTCAAATTCATTAATACTTATTCACTTTACAAATTCAATATAAACCGCATATTCCACTTTTCTTTATAATCGTGTCACTTCCACATGTCCAAATATTTGGTAATATTTGTGTAATTCAAATTTATTACGGAGTAATACTTATTCACATTTGCACATTCAATATCAACCACATATTCCACTTTTCTATATAATCGTGACACTTCCACATGTCCAAATCTTAGCGGGACAGAGATAGTATATGATAATATATTAATATGATATAGGTTATGTATTGAATTTAAAATTATTTATACTTTTTCTAAATTAGTAATAATGTTAATTTCAAAATTTGCCAATAAAAACTAATTCGCTTTTCATAATAAGCGTGCATTTAGTTTTCAAAAAACACAAAGCAGAAAACAGAAATTGATGCCAAACGAGCCCCTACATGATGGATTTCTGACAATCTATATCAACTTGTTAAGAATTTATATTGCATCATCAACTCTTCATATGCTTTAACTAGTTAATCAGTGAGCCAAATCTATATCTCATGTCATGCCATGTCATGCAGTACACAGTTTTTGATCAACTCAAACAACATCTGCTGAAAGACCAACACACATCAAATGGGAAGAAGGGTTCATCATCCCCATTAGCCCTTTCTGCATTCTCTGCATTTTTATTAGGTGCACTCTCAAAGAGCATTGCCACCATCATTACTTTCCCAGCCATTAGGTGCGTTTGCAAGCTTGATGACCCTTTCTTATGTTTATTTATTCAACCATAAGAAAAGCTAATATTAGAAAAACTCCTGAAACTGCAATCAGGTGCAAAGTTATGATTCAAGCCGCAGACATGAATGATGGAGGCGATAATAAGAAGTCCAAACGAAAACCATGCAAAACACTGCTTGGTGTTGCTGGCTCTATCCTTAGAAATGAAGGGATTCTCGGTTTCTTCAAGGGATTACAAGCTCAAATCTTGAAGACAGTGCTAAGTTCTGCATTGCTCCTGATGATAAAGGAAAAGATTTCTGCTAAAACATGGGCACTCGTTCTTGGACTCAGTAGGCTCATCATTGTCAACCAGAGGAGGCTAAAGAACTCATAGCTGTAATGCAGCAGATGGTCTTTCAAGAATCAATCTGCATGCAAGGGGTTTTATGGTAAACAGAGAGAAAAGTAGGAGACAAGGAGACACTTTTTATTGGAATACACATCTTCTGGTCATAAATGTCATGTCATGAAACTCGAACTAAATAGAATAAATATGACCAATGTCCATGATTTCTTTATTATTGAATTAGAGAGGTAAGAGTCATTGATATGAAAGTCCAGTGAAACATTATAAGTTTAGATTAGAGGTAGTAATTGGATGATTGATGATCACACATCCAGCTTTTTTCACCCAATGTGGTTATGAGGGTGTGTCAAATAAGAATGCACTATAGTGTACATTTTAATGTCTTGATATGCACTTTGAGTTGGTCCTAAAAAATCATTCCATCCAAAACCAGACTCCCAAATTCACCTGAAGTTCTTTTCATACAATTTAAATTGCTTCTAATCCTTATATATAAGTAAGTAGCTCAACGCCTCAACATAACTTCCATATATTCAACTTTCTTATGAGTGTATTCTTTTTATTTGGCTATTACTAATTAGTCATTATGAATGGAATTGAGAATTTCTCTCTCAATTTCAAATCTACCATGTGGAGTATTAATAAGTTTTATTTTTTGTAATGATAAATAATCAATGAACACCTCTTATAAATGACAAATTAAAAGAATGACACACAAAAAAGTAAGGATGTGACGCACAAGATTTGAAATCCGAATGACCCAAATATTAGTTCATGCTTAGAGCATCTTAGATTATAATCATATATTAGGAATTAATTTATAAATTATATTGGTATATTATATTGATTTTATATTAAAGCTAATTGTTTCGGGTTTTTATCGATCCGGATCAGGTTATAGATTTTAGGACCTGTTAATGAGCCCGAAATTTCGGGTTCGATCCGGATTTTTTTTATCGGGCCGGTCAAAAAGAAAAAACTCGGACAGATATCATAATTCGGACCGGTCAAAAAGAAAAAACCCGTACCGATATCATAATTCAGGCCAGGGCCGATTTCCAGGGCCACGTATTTAAAATATAGATAGTGGGACGAAAAAATCTTCTCCAATGCAACTGTCTATTTTAGTAGTGATGCTGAGGAGGAAATGCAAAGGGTCGAGGATGTCTCATCATCTGTCTCAATTCAGCAGGTCAATCAAACATTGTGACTTGTAAAAATGCGCGATGAAGTTTGTAATAAGCAGAAAAGGTAAGGTTGAAGTTACTTTTCTGATTGCTTTGGCTAAAGTTACTGTTGTAGAGGATCATTTTAACTATCTTTCATATAATTTTTTATTTAATTTATTGATAACAAATATTTTAAATATAATTTTTTCATGAATCAGCAGAATCAGTCAATACAACCACTTCAGTCAGAACTTCATAAATTTCAGCAGAATCAGCCAATTCAACCAGTTTTAGTGTTACCAAACGGACTCTTAATTACGAGATTGGGTGTTTAAAATATATCTTTTACTTTGTCAATGTTTTTGATGAACACGCGGGAATTTGTTTTCATCTTATTGAAGCATTTTTTAATTTTAGCTTACATGTTAAGAGTTGTTTTAGACTTCTAAAATTTCTTTTGAGGAGGCTTGTCGTTTGAAATTCAAAATTTGTAAGGTAGTTTGTATATATCGATTTAAAAATATTATTAAGAATCAAGCTTTTAATTCGAAAATCACATTTCATTGGTAGTTTGGTACGAGCAAATTCTTGCTACGACATTAAAGTACAGTACAAATAAAGAGGACGTAATGTGAAATATTGAACTGGGAATTGGTGGGTTGCGCCAGGCCAATGCAAGAGTGCAACGCAAAGGCGACGCTTGAAAGCCCAAGCAGCAAGCTACCTTAGCGAGCCTTCTCACTTAAAAAATAAAGTTAATATCGTGTGAGCTAATAGCCCACATATCAGATATTAAACTGATAAGAACAGATACTCCACTTGATCTTAGCCAAAAGGCCGAGAAAGGTATGCTTTACTTGGTCAATAGCCTACCGGTCTTATACTCTCAGGAAGGCATTCACTCAACAAAAACAAACTGTGTGGGACAAAAGAAGTATACACGCACACTATGCTGCTCCAATTTTTCTATTTCGCTGGCTTTTGAATCCCTCTTTTGCCTCTGCGAGAGGGCATTATTTTTTATATACTTCTCCTCCTTTATTGAGATTTGATTTGAGAAAGGGACATGGGGGTGTTTTAACTCCAGTCCACCACCACCACCATTTTGTTGCCTAAAACCAAACTTGCTAACCAGAATATACTTCACAAAGAAACTAACTGACCGAAAGGACACTAAAGAATATGAGTCTAAGATCTATTAATAATGACACTAAAGAATATGGCCTTTTTGTGTGTTTCTTTGAATTGATTACATAAAAAATCTCATCTTTCACAAATTTTCTCAAAATCGTGCCATGTTTTATTTTTTATTTTTCCTTCTGGGTTTTTATTTCTTTAGTTTTATGCTTTTATCCCTAGATACTTTTTTATTCCTCGTTTTTCGTCCTTTTGTTTTTATTCCATTTTCATATTTATCTATTCCATTTCTCACTCTATTAGGTGAGTTTTTTAGTAAGCATGTTTTTACTTGGACTGTAATTTGCTGGTGTGGTCTGGTTAAGTCTGGTCAGGTCTGGTCTAGTAAATGTCTGGTCTCTTTGTATTTTATAACTACGGAAGTCAAGTGTGGTCTGGTCTATTTAAGTTTGGTCTGATTTGGTCTGGTCTGGGACTTAAAACAATCCAAGTAAAAACATCTAAAACGTTATGACGATAAATCCCTCAAAGTGGTTTGGTTGTTGTGCGCGCCTTCGGCCTAAGGAAATTGATCCGGCATAATTACGTAATTCTGCATTCGATGGTTCCATTTCGACTAACTATGTCACTTCCCTTGCGAAAAGCTATTTCTCTTCCTTCTGTGGCATTTTGCCTTCAAACATCTGATTCACTAGCACCGGAAAAATCAACAGCTAGGCCAACAAGCCCAAGGAGAGGGAGCCTAGCCCTGCTAACTCTTATTCTAATTCACTTGCAAACCCTATTCTTGCTAATAGCCGAGTTGTTGTCCAATCCCTGAGGGACATTTGCTTTGCTATATTCTTCTTCCTCTTCCTCTCTATTTATTCTCGTTTTCCTTTTATGTATTTCTCTTCTTAATTGCTCTCTATTTATAAAAGATATTGCCCTCGGTCTATTTTTTGTTATATTTTCTTTTTATTTTTTCACTTCTCACCATTTTTTTCATGTTACTTTTTTGTGTTTTATTCTTTCTGTTTGTTACATTAATTCCATCATCAATACATTCTTCTCCTGTTAGCATCGTCGCATTTTTAGTAAGTCCATCCATTAATTCCATCAATTATGAGAAAAAACTCTTTGTAAAAAAAATCTTGTAAAGGGGAAATGTAAGGGAAACTGAAACAAAGTAAAATAAGAGATTAAAAAATGATATATACTCTATACATGAAAAAACATATATAGGGGAAGGATTAGCGGAAAAGGGAAAACATGTAAAGAAATCTAGAACAACGCGTCACAAGTCACTACTTGAGCCTCAACAAATCGGACATCGCATTTTCCGCTGACCGAGAGTCTTTGTGGTCACTGTGAAGATCATCGATCATGAGGCAGGCTCAGATCATTTTGAGAGCTCATCCATCGAGTGATAGACTGAGGTTGGTAGTCGAATGGATTCGCAACGATGGTAATCTGGATGAGAAATAAGTGATCAATTACTTCGGCATCATATGGGTTTTAGAAATCAAGATGATGATGAGCGTGGCATCAATATGTGAAGCACATCCCTACACAGTTGAAGTTGGCTGACATCTTCACCAAAAGTTTATCCAGTCAGCGTTTTGAGTTTCTTCGTTCCAATTTGCACGTGGTTTCCCCTGCACAAATTGAGAGAGTGTAATAATGTAATATTTAGGGATACTTTGTAATATTTCATAACTGTGTTTCTCCTATAAATATAAGGTTAAGGCACCCAATAGGGTAAGCCATTACTCTCCAATTCTATTCTCTCATAAGTACTACCCTCGTAAGTAAGCAGGGCAATAAAGAATATAATCTATATAAAAACAGTAGTCATAATTTGCCTAGTTGTGATGATGAGCAATGTATATATACAAATTACAATGTTTTCACGTGTATATGGATTTTTTAGTGTGGTTTGGTCTATTTAAGAATGCGTTTTTAATTGGATTGATTTCAGTTTCATATTAGATAATACCGAAATTAAACGTACCATATCAACTTTAAGAAATTGTAAAATACACATAGAATAGATATCTAGCCAGTAGATCAGACTGGATAAGTGCATACTAGGTCATACCTGACTAGACGAAATCAGATTTAAACAGACCATGTGAGACCATACTAAAACAATCTGATTCAATTAAAAACATGTTAAGTCTCACATGGTCTATTAAAGATTTGATATATGTATGTAGTACTATTGTCTAAATCTGATTCAACATGATTTGGTTTGACTACACCCGGTTTGTCAGGTATTACAAAAAAACATTGTATTTGTCGGGGATATTAGTCAGAGATTTCATCCCTAACTAGTTTGTCAAGGATTTGTTAGGGATATTAACAAAAAACGGTCAAACATGGTTTGTCACGGAATAATCCTTAACAAATTTTGTCAAGAATTAATCCGTGACGGAGCGGCTGACAAAATCATTAAAACACTTTCCAATTCACTTATGTCCCACACCGGAAGAATAGAAGCATTCATCTCTTGGCTTTTCTATATAAACACATACTTGGTATCCTTGATACTTTTCCAAGCCATTCAAGGTTTTTTCGACCCTAGATAGTCTAATGATATTCTAATTTTATTTTTATTTCATTTTTAATTTATTTTTTATTCTCATTATTTTCTTAGGGATCATTCCCTAACATGTCTCTAACAAAAGTCGTCACAGATTACTTATCCTTAAGAAAGAGGATCCCTAAAACAATCGTTAACAAAACAGTTTGTTAGGGATATTTTACACTACTCTCTCTAACAAACTCCATGACAAAACAATTGTCTTTTTATAGTGCCAAATGAAAACATTTGATAAAAAAATGTAGAAATGTCTTGCCAAAACTCTTCCAAGTTGACTTTACTATATCCCCTATGTTCAATTGAATATTGACAAGTTCTTGATATGTGTGAAATACGAAAAGTAAAAATTGTGTAATAAAAAATGTGCAGGGAAGAGAAACATAAGCAAAACAACTAATTGTTTACTTTAACGAAAAAAGTAATAAATGTTTTAGAACAATCTCAGAAAGTTAGATATAATTCAATACTCTAATGGAGAGAATATTTGGTAACATATGATACTCTCAATTGAGGTTTTTCATATCGATTGAATAGGGAGAAGTGGTATACTATTGACTCCGTATATTTGTTAGCTATTGCGCATTGTTTTTTTATACGGAGTAACAAAATCGTTATATATAAGAAAATAGCGCTTCATATGGCAAGTTAATTGTCCAGTTCAGCTGTAGCATTGGCAATTTGAGATCTTCGAATCCGGGTTCGACTCTCGGCAGCTGAGCATTTTCTGGCTTATTTTTTTTTGCCCCCAGATTCTACATACCTTACTTTCTCTTATTTTGAGAACAATAGTACTCCGTAATATTATGAATTGTTGAATTCTTTTAGAGCAAGTCAACTACGAAAAAAATATAAAAACATAATTAAATATAAAGTCATGTATCATATGTTTTTACCATTACAATAAAAACAATATAAATAATTAACTCTGATATGTTTTTGTCGTTGCAGCAGAATGTTGTAGCTTTTATGGCCTAATTGATACAACCAATTGTTTGTTTGGATAGTAAACAACTTATTCATGATTGTAAATTAAAAAGTAGGCAAAATTTAAAATGCCTCCATCTTTTAATACCAAACTACATTTAAAATGGTTGATATGATTAAGATACTCTTAAAAAGACTCAATCTCGATGCATTCATTACTTCACCGATAACTCGTATCACACACTCTTCCTCTCCATCTAAAAAACTTTTACATAAAAAAACCATTACCCTATCACGAGTTTAGATTAAACATATATAAGCTTTTTACTTATAATTGTAAATGAAAATAGTAAAAACTTAAGAGACAAAATTTGACCGTATTTGACATCAACCACGAGATCAAACATGTTACATCCTGTACACCTTCAAACTTGGTCGACCTCAAACTTGTTTGAACTTCAAACTTGGTCGAACATGTCAAACCAGATTGAACCAGACTCATTCAAACTCGGCTAAACCCGTTTCAAAGTAGTATTTAAATTCTCTTCCAAATTAACTTTTTCCGTTTTAACTTAAACGTCATCACTTTGTTCAAGGTTTTACGTAACTTCAGTCATTTGTAAAAAAAGGATAGTTTCATGACAAGTATTCTTCTCTAGGACAGTTTAGGGATGGACCCGGGTCGGGCCCGAGCGGGCTTTTTTTCCAGATACTTGGGCCTGGAACCGGCCCGGGTTGATACCGGGTCCGGGCCGAGCCTCGGTCCAGTTCCGACCGGGCTTTTTTTGGAGAAGTGAGGCCCGGAAACCGGCCTGGGTAGCTCCAGGCCCGAGTCGGGCCGGTTCACCCTATTTTTTTTCCTAATTACTTCCTACCCCCACCCCCCACACACACACCCCAAACCCCTCCAAAACACCCAGGCCAACCAATTTACCTTTTAAAAAAATGTGAAAAACAAAATAAAAAAATGGCCCGAACCGGCCGGACCGGTTCATCAAATGCAAGGCCCGGGAACCGCCCCTCTACAGTGCCAGGCCGGGTGGCCCGAACCGGTCACAGAACCGTGGACCGGGCCGGGCCGGGCCGGAACAGTGCCGGTTCGGGCCGGAACAGTGCCGGTTCGGGCCGGTTCCGATTCGGTTAACCCGACCCGAGTCCATCCCTAATGACAAGTAACGACATGATTTTTCTCTCATTGGAGCTTTCTCTGGAGAGGCATGAAGGAATGGAGCACTTAGAGGACAGAGAGCATTTGGGGAAGGGTGGACCGGTGGTGCTCCAAGTCAATTCCACCTAGGGATGGAGTGATGGACTAAACCGGCCTGGCCCGGCCCGGAACCGGCCCGACCCGCTACTGTGCGGGCCCGGACCGGACCGGGACCGGTTGGCCAGTTCCGGACTTTTAGCCCGTTTGGGCGGGCTGGGCGGGTCGAGCTCGGGCCCAGTTTTGGGCGAACCGGTTCGGGCCGGGCCCGGGTCAATTTTTTTTTTTTCAATTTTTTTTTCTTTTCCTAGGGTAGGGCTGGGTGTTTTGGGGAGGTTTGGGGGTGGGGGTGAGGGTCGGGAGATAACAAGAAAGCAAAAAAAAAAGACATTGAACCGGACCCGGTATCAACCCGGGCCGGTTCCGGGCCCAAAGGATTTGCAAAAAAAGCCCACCCGGGCCCGGCCTGGGTCCATCCCTAATTCCACCTGTTGATTGTGCCGCCTCCACTTCCATCACCAAGCATTACCCCACAATTTTCAGGTTACCTCTCCTGCTTCCTAGATCAATGAGCACAGCGCTTTATTATTCCACCCCCATCCGCCGGTGCAACAAACCCTCTGCCACCTGCAGGCCACTTGCAAAATCACCAAAACACTTCCTTGTGCATCAACTCAAGTGACTCCACACACCCCCCCCCCCCCCCCCCCCCCCCAAAAAAAAAAAAAAAAAAAAGAAATACGTAGTATTAAGGTAAAGAAATGCAGTCACATACTTGGACGGCTATTGTAAATGGATTACAAAGACAAACTTTAAACTAGTACGACTATAGCAGAGCCTTTTGGAAGCCAAATAAGTTTGCTATGATATTAGAAATAAATACGAGTCCGAATCGGTTTAAAGTTCTGAGTAATTAATTTTGAGCTTAAAGCAGAATACAACAGTAAAACAAATGAACTCGATCACATAATGAGTGTGGCCTTTTTTCTTATGAGATCATTCATATTCGTGGAGAATGACTATGGCTTTTTCTGAGGACCTTGGATAACTAAATACTGTTTGAACTATCTTGGAAACATCTGAAGGGAAGTTGGTCAAATCTTCTCCTTTATCGATCACCATCTTTTCCAAGGCCGTAGCTCTCTTAAGCAAGATTCGAGCCACTGTTAGCATTGGCTCACCGGCAAGATATGGATTTGCATAGCCTATAAAACGAACCGCCTTCAGATGCAACAAGTCACAAACGAGGTCATCCTTCAGCAATGGTTCCCAGGTCGTGACGGATTCCTAGATGAACAAAACGAGAGAACCTTAAGGTAGACCAAATTTGAAACATCATTTGTATGTTATGCATGCATATGATATGTGGCTCTTAGATAAAATTTGACATACAAAAGAAAAGTATTCATATTGTCATGCCATTCTGCACCAACTAATTGAAAAGATGCAAACGCATATGATCTAACTTAAACTACTTCTTTCAAAAAGTTGACCTGAATAGAACTTCTAATTATAATCAAATGAGCAACTCAATCTGATTAAGACTACAAAATGTGAACCAGAATTTCGAGATCGGTCGATTCTAACAAGCCACTATCTTGTATTTTTGTAGACCAAACAAACATAAGGACATCAACTGACATATAACACCTAACACTACCCTCGCGAATCATGTCGACCTTCAGTATAAATACCCAAGTTTAAGTGTTAGTTTATTGTAGTGTTCGAAGGAACAAGTACAGTATATATTAAGATAAAACCCACATTTACTGAAAATAAAGAATGCCATGCATATTCAACCAAAGAATTAGAGGCATTATTAGATACCTCATAAGAGTCACAGCACTGTATGACCAATGTATCTAGTTTTGAAGACGATTCGAGCAGGCCTAGAATGGCAGGAATGCTATCGCCATCCCTCCATGTATCAATTACCAAACAATCTTGCCTAGACTGCGGAAGCCGCCAACCAAGCACCACCATCTTTGATAGAACCTAGAATAGTATCATATGTGTACATCGTAACATGCCTATAGCAGGGTCTATAAATGGGGTGAACAAAGATGAAAAATGGTACAATGGGAGCAAGTTTAGAACTAAAGCAGTTAATGACTATTTGAAACCCTAGGAACCTTATCAGGCTAGGACAAATACAATATGGTCTTATCTGAATACACTAACTTATAGCATTATCTCTAAGCTGGCTTGGAGGAATAAATTGATCTCAAGAACTTTGATGAAATTTAATTCAGTTGATTACCTATTAAGAATTAAGATTGTGCACTATGTGAGGGAGGGAATGAAACTGCATAACACATGTTCTTCCTCTTACGTTTTTCATCTGAAGTGTGGAACAAAATCAAGGGTTGGCTCAACAAGGACAAATGCATTACAGCAACTAAGAAACACATTGCAAATTTAAACTAAGGCCAGATTGTAGCCGCAATTGTTTGTACAGTTAACTCTATTTGGATAGCAAGAAATATAATACTACGTAATAATTTAGAACAAAAGCCCAAATTGGGAGGATTTGGTTCAATTAATTAAAATCACGAGTTTCAAAATAATGTTTCAAAATTAATTTATTAAGAATCAATTATTAATTATCTTGATCCCTACCAAGTGGGTGGTGACTCCCTCTTTTGCCTAGGAATTTCTGGTGAATAGTATTAGGTATCCTTATTATCTTATATTCCATATCATTTAAATCTTTGTTGTCTTTGATTAAAAAAGGTAGGTTGTGAGAAGATGAAAACCAAACAAGCAGCTTAACATGCTTATGTTTATACATAATTAGCATTCAACTACTAAATTGCAGACTCAAAATCAAAGAGAATTCGAACCATGAATTATGTTGAAACATATTTTAAGACACGTAGATAAATGAATTCAGTATCAATATCACATGGATGCAAAAAATGCTTAGAGCAAGAATGCACACCTCAATGAACCCACATCCAAGTACAAGCACTTTGACATGCCCAATCTTTTCAAGAAGTTCCATGGTGTTATTCATCACTTCCACAGAGCTACGACACACACTGAAATCAATATTAGCATCAGCAACAGATGGTATGTTGTTGAGCTGCATCTTTGTTTTTGAAGGATGAAGTCCAATATTCAATGTCCTAATATAGGGTGCTGAGATTTCTACCACATGTTTACTCATCTTATCTTCACACACTGATACACCAAGTGAAGCGAGACTTTGAGAATTTACATCCAGAAAATTGAATCCCCAACATTCTGACAGATTTAAGTCATGCAGTACTGGACAACCAGATAATATCTTTTGAATTACATCCTCACACAACTCTACATTTTCAATCTGCAGATAAGATAAAGATTGCCACTGTATCGTTCTATGAGGAGCCAAACTGCATCTTTGCAACCACAACGATTTCAATGAAGAATTAGAAAACAACGCCTGAGGAAGCTTATAGAAGTGTTCATCGGATTGTAGCAACAACTCAAGTGTTTTCACCTTATTTTTGACAGCAAAATGAACCCAAGCATTTACATCCGAAGAAAAGCAGTTATTGTACCTGAAGCGAACCCTAAACCTTTCCAAATAAATTCCGCTGCGAAGAAGAAGAGTCCTGTGAACCCAAGGCACAAAATCTACTCTTTTCCTGATCTCCCAAAAGTCTAAGGCAGGCAATTCGGTCCAAAGATATTGCCACCTTCTAGATAACACAGCAAGAGTAGCGGCTCCATCCATACCAAGTTGGGAGAGAATATGAAGAAGTAACGAATCTGGCAATGCGCTGAGACGGTCCGTCGGCATCTCTTTAACCCGCTTGTTCGAGGATAACACTGAAATCGGCACCCTTAGATAGCTTCCTTCCTCTTTGCCATATCCGTCTTCAACCCTTTTTCTTTCTTCATTTCTAGCCCCAAATTCTTCTCTTGCTTCTTCTCTCACGCCAAAATCTCCCTCTCCAAGTTCCCCAAATTCTGGCTGTCTTTCGTCATTCATTGCAATATTGAAATAATTCTACATTCTAATCATAACCATTCAACCCTTAACCTGAAGAATTCAGGCAAGCTACTGACTGCACAGCCAGCCCCGCCCACGCCGCTATGATGTCGATGCCCGCCTCCTAATACAAATACTTCGAACGACTTCACTGGAGTTGAGTACCAGGTTCACTTGAAAACTAGACTTAAAAAAGGGTAAATCCTAGAAAAAAGGAGAACTATAGAATTAGTCCTAGAACTTGCAAAAAAAAGAGGGTAAATCAGTCCTTTTATAAAAGTCTTTGTCAGGCTTTCTCCATTTGGGGGGTTTCTGGTGAAATTTTTTGAGCATCTTGTTCATTAAGTCTAGTTTAATCATACCAAATTTCAGCTAAATATTCAATCGGGAAGGCAATCAAATGAATTTTTGAAAATAATTGCGCAGTTAGACAACGCAGTATATTTCATAAAATTATTTGACTGCCTTCTCGGTTGATTTGTTAGCTGAAATTTGGTATTGGTAAACTGAACTTAATGAAGAATATGCTCAAAAAATTTCATCAAAAAATTCCACTAGAAACCGTCCCAAATGGCGACGGCCATACAGAGTCTCCTATAAAAAGGTTTATTTGCACTTTTTTGGATAAGTTCGAGGACTTATTTGATAGTTCTCCCAAAATAAAAAACATATCATATTGGCTTGCCTCTCCACGAGAGTTTACATTAAAAAATAATGGAGCTATGTCAGGTGTACACATTTTTTTGTACACCTTTTGTACACTCGTGTGTCTCACACACAAAATTATATATGCACAGACAATTCTGCAGAGTTATGTAGACAGACAATTCTATGTGCGTGAGACAGACGAATGTACAAAATATGTACACCACAAGAGAAAACATTTTTCAAAATAATGGTAATGTGATAATGTAATATAGTCTATTTAACTATTTGTTTTTTTGCTTGATTTGGTAATTTTTAGATATATCAATCAATTGTTTACAATTGAATTGTGTTAGAATCAAAATTAGTAATCCATCCAATTTCTATTACTTTTTAACTTCTGACGCTATAGTTTTTAATATTTGTGAGAATCTATAATTGTAAATAAAATAAACGGAAAGGGGCAAATAAGCCCTCGAACTAATCGAAAAAGTGTAAATTACCTCTTTTATAAGATGTTATGTCCGGTCCTCGCCATTTAAGGCAGTTCTCGGTGGAATTTTTTGATTAATTTTTTTTTAGCATCTTCTTGATTAATTCTAGTTTACCCAAACCAAATTTCAGCTAAAAATGAATTCGGGAAGGCGGTCAAATAAATATTTGAAGATAGCTGCCTAGTTAAACAACGCAGTATATTTCAGAAAATCATTTACTGCCTTCCCGATTGAATTTTTAGTGGAAATTTGGTATGGGTAAACTCGACTTAATGAAGAAGATGCTCAAAATAATTCATCAAAAAATTCCACGGGGAACCGCGCCCAAATGACGACGGCCGGACAGAGCCTCCTATAAAAAGGATGATTTGCACTTTTTCGGTTAGTTCGATGACTTATTTGCACCTTTTCCTATAAAATAATATGGAGAGATTAAAACAGGAAAGACTAAATTACCAAATTGGTGAAAAAAGTGGTTTACCGAATTGAAAAGAAAACTTCAGCAACGTACTAGGAAAAAAGAAGCAGCGACGACAAATTGGTAAAATAACAAAGCTCAGGCGATCAATTGTTCAATTTTTTATGAGTGAGTTAGTTATAGTCCTCGATTTTAGAGTTTCCGACATTTGGTGAAAATGAGATTTTTCGTTCTTCTATTTTTATTTTGTCTTGGAAAATTGAGAATTAAAAATGTCAACGGAGTGTTTGACAATCAACAGTTGTCTGCTAGTTGAATGAGCAGGTTGATACTAGTTTCATTAGCGGTTTGAGTTAAAATGTTAATAGTTTAATTGTTTGTGATTAGCTGTTAAGGAGTAAATTGACCATTAAGAATGTGAATTTAAAAGTATATATTATCCACGTTTTTTTAGTTGCAACATAGATAGTTTTACACTATTCATTTATTTTACTTTGATTACATTTTATTTATTGATGTATGAGAATAATTATTTATGAAAAGCATTGTTGAAATTATCTCATTACAAATTTTAATAATTTGACTTTAAATTTTTTTACTAATAGAAAATTAAATATAATGACGGTTAAAGTTGTGCATTGATAAACGTGAAAAATGATAATATTGCAACTAAAAAACGAATTTGAACTTAACTTTTTTCATTTAAAATAACCATTAAAGATATGAATTTGAAGTTATATTTTATAATCGTTTGACTTTGCACCTCATTCATTTACAAAAGATACAAATATTAATTTTTACAAAAATCGAAGTAAAGTCAAATCCCCTTAAAATTAAAATTAAAGTACTTTATGAAAATATTTGTTCCATTAGGAGAAATTCTAAGATGTATTACTCCCTCCGTCTCATTGGAGTTTGTCAATTTTCCTTTTCTGTTTGTCCTGGAAAAATTTGACACTTTCCTTTTAAAACAATGTTTTTTGTGTCTCCTTTCATCTCTCCAGCGGGTAATATATTTTATCTTGGTTATAGGCTTATAGCAGATTGGAAAATCTCTCAGCTAGTATAAACGCTGAAGAAGAAGAGAAAGAAAATCTTCCCCGGCCGGCCACGAAATAAGAGCTTTGAAAAGTATATATATTTATGCATTGATAGCTATACGGGTATTCATAATTGCGAAGATGATGTCGAGCAATTATACCGCCATTGATAATCAGAATGTCTCTGGATCTGTTCCTGTAAGTGAATTTCTTTATGTGATCATTTGCACATTATCACTGTAAGCAGATCTAGATATCGTGCTACTCTTTTATTCATTTTTCTTTTTTGTAAATTTCCAGGCAGTAGCAGATCCTCCTTCCCATGTTGCCGTCAAATTCACTGGTAGTGTATCTCTTACGACATGTATTTTATACGGAGTATTTTTTGTGATTGATTTCTCAAGTGTTGGAAGAAATGTGTGTAAAATTTTGCAGAGTCGAATCTTCAGACATTTCCACCTTCAAGTTCACAGGGGAAAATCTCTCGTGGCTCTGGTCCTCCTCGTGATGCTGATGGTATGATCTCAGTAGATTATACTTGTATTATAATCTTTCATTTTATTTCATTTTGATCAGCTATCCAGCTGTAGAGAAATTTAGGTTGATTTTGAACAAAGGACAAACAGTGGTTGATAACTAAGGCTGTGTGTATGATAAGTTGTCACTTCTCATGTACTACATACTTTTTGGTTTGGATACACCTTTGTTGGGAATGTTTTTATGCGGCTTGAAGTTGTTAGGACTTAGGACCATCTTTAGGTCTTTCAATTCATTGTTGGTCTGTTGCATTTAAATGCTGGGTTCGTACTATTGGGAGTTTTGGGATTTGATCACTAGAATTTGATCCGAATGGTATGTGTTCAACAGCTACATGATCTTAATTGGAGACAAGCTGTGTGACCAAAACACTAGAAGCTCTTCAACTGCTACACACCAGCAAGTTTGTTAGGCTAATCTCCTCATCGCTATGAAGTTCTGATATAATTAGGCAATGTACTGTGTCTCACAAAGCTTAGAGCCTTAGACACTATGTCCTTCGGAGATCAGAAGAGAATTTGCTCTTCAGCTATTGGGAGCTACCCCTAATTCAGATTGATTGCACTTTGGTGTCTTTAATTTGTTAAACTTGGGTAACGGGTATAGGTTAGAGCTTTTACAAGTGGTATATAAATATAACGTAGAGAATAAAAATAAAAAGGAATTTTTTTGTGGATGGCATAACGGTTATTGCAATAATCCCCTTTACATTCTTTCCCGTAGTAGTGTGCCCTGTCCATGTTGAATTATCTGTACTATCATTCAAGAAATCATTGTTTTTCTTTATTGTTTTGTAGATAGTTTCTCCAAACCAGCATCCAGTTCTGATGTGCCCCGGCAGAGTGGCTGGTTAAGTGCTTTCACTATTGCTGCTTACAAGCCCTATTTTGATGTTGATACGTCTGATGTTTTAGAAAGGATAAAATATTCCCTCTTTCCTTTTGGTGGAGCCTTTACTGAGAAAACTTCTAGTAGCCCAGATCTGTATGTTGCCATCATGATCTCTTTGTTAATTCATTCTCAACCATCTCAGTCATTATTGTAATATTCTTTGGTTATTTTAGATGTATCTCTAGCTCATACTCATAACTTGCTATTCTGATATTGGTAGCTGCCTAGCTGGATATAATGCTACTCGCCCATTACTACTGTTTTGTTTTCATGAAATGTGCTCGTGGCTGTGATACTCTATATAAATAGTACGTAGTAGTTGATTAAGAACTTTGTGATAATTTTCACGTGTCATCTTATCCTGTAATGGTGACCATGCTCCTCTTGCATAAGTTAATACTAGATTAGTGGACTTTTTTAATCATGTTGCATTCTCAATGCCTTTATACTGGAATGATTGAATGAAGGGAAAATGTCAGATTTCATAATGTGGAATTGAGATTTATAAGCCTTGCATCTGAATTCTGAGTGTATTTTAGAATCAAAAGCCCATGGCTACGTGCTTTCAAATTACTGATTATAGAATCTTAATATATCAATGGCCTGATTTTAAGTAGTCACAGGTCTTTTTTGTTGTAGTGAATCGTTATTATCATGTTGTTCTGTCAGTACATGTTCAGAATGGAAAATTGTGTTGAGTAGCAGATGATGTTCATTTAACAACACTGGGAAATGTCTTTTGATGAAATTCATATACTCAAAACTATCTCAGATCTTGATGGTCTTTTCTCAAAATGACTATAGTGTCCTCACTGCTATATCTTGTTTCTTTAAGGTATGGACCATTCTGGATATGCACTACCCTAATATTTGTGGCAGCTTCCATCGGCACATTTGTTACATATTTGGCCCACAAGATTCAGAAAAAAGAATGGGACTATGACATCAATCTGGTGACTTGGTCTGCTGGTTTATTCTATGGATATGTGGTCATAGTCCCCATTTGCTTGTATGTTATACTCAAGTACTTATCTGCTCCAGCCAGCCTTGTTCAACTACTCTGTCTCTATGGATATTCGCTGTTTGTCTTCATCCCTGCATTGGTGAGTCTTAACTCTTAAGTGAACTATTCCTTCTTCAACTGATGTGTCTTTATTATGAATATATTCCCCATTCATCTTCATCACCCTTACTTATTTTACATTCTTTTTTGGATATTAGGTAGGTTTGAGTTCTTTTCGCTTATTGCAAACATAAATGAATCAATACTGTTAGCATGTGTTTAATTGAATGTATAGTGTGATAATCATCGAAATTTCTAGTGGCCTTACTAAACACTTCCATTTGTTTATACTTTATTTCCAGTGTATTACAGGATCTTTTTATCATAAAATAATCCAGAATCACTAGGTGCCCATTTGGTAAACTATTGTTTTGGCCTAACAGCCTTATTGAGTCAGATTTTTACCAAACACTGAATTTTTAATTTGCAAGCTGAACTGTGTAGTAATCGTAGTAATCAAAATAAGTAAAGATAGAGACCATAGTTGTCATGGCGCATGGCGCAATCCATGGCGCACAAGCCATTTCACATGGCGATGGCGATGGCGCAAATATGGCGTCACCACGTGACAAAAAAAAAACTTCAAAACGAATGATAGACACTATAATTCATCAACCCAACCATTAATATGTTAGGATTTAGGCTTAAACTACTTCCAAAAAACATATTATTCAAAAAACTTTCATGTCTTGCAAAATATGTTAGGATTTAGGCTTGTTAGCTTGTTTTTATTTGATGATTATGGCATAATCATCATCAATCATCGCACCCCTCATCATCCCGGTCTGAATCTGTTAGCAATTCCACCTTTAGTAACCTAGTAATTCCACCTTTAGTAACCTGCCCACAGTGATTGCATCGCAGGTCGTTGTTTTTTTCATTCAGTTTCTCACAATGCTCCTTAGCAAAGGCTGTAGACATCTTCTGCAAGACTGCAAGTTCAAAAATAAAAACTTCATTGAAGTATCAAATTGAAGCAGTAAGTAGTTAAACTGCAAGTTATAAAGTAAAAACTTCAGTTAAACTTCATAAATTCTATGAAGTCTGAACATAAAGTAACATACAGTAATTTAAATCATTCAATCAGAGCTCCCCAAATGATGAAAGTGGTTAAAGAGGGTTTAGTTAGCTGAAGTTAGTTAAAACTTCATTTTAAGATAAACATAAACTATAAAGTTAAAAGTAAAAACTATAAAGTAATTTATAACTGTATATCTGTATAAAGTAGTTCATTTTAACATAAACTAACACAAACTGGAGTATTAAATGAACTGAAGTTTTTTAACAGTTGCTTTGGTTATATGAAAGTTTCATATACTCTTTTGTATAAAGAATAAACTATTGTCAAAAAAAACTGTATAAAGTATAAACTGAAGTTTTCTTCATTAATACAGAGCATTAAAGAGGGTTCAGTTAGCTGAAGTTAGTTAAAACTTCATTTTAACATAAACATAAACTATAAAGTAAAAGTAAAAACTATAAAGTACTCCCTCCGTCTCTTAAAACTTTGCCAACTTTCCTTTTTTGGATGTCCCACTAACTTTGCCACTTTCCCTTGTAAGTAAAGAATTTGTGGTTCCAGTTAATTCTCTCTCCTCTGCACAAAACTCAACCACACATTTTTTACTTTATTAATCCCCGTGCCGGTCAAACTTGGCAAAGTTTTAAGGGACAGAGGTAGTAATTTATAATTGTATGTCTGTATAAAGTAGTTCATTTTAACATAAACTAACACAAACTGAACTATTGAAGTATTAAATGAACTGAAGTTTTTTAACAGTTGCTTTCATTATATGAAAGTTTCATATACTCTTTTGAATAAAGAATAAACTTTTGTAAAGAGGGTAGTCATACCTTTTGTAGTTGGAAGAAGTCAATGAGTTCCCAGGCTGGCAGTTGTGCCTGGTTCTGTCTTTTGGCGCTCAAATGTTTGTCGCAGAGTGACAACTTTAACTTCTACTGTCCGCAGCTTTGTTTGCTTATTTACTTTTGTTAGGGTTGTTAATAATTGACTTTGTGTGTTCATAATGGGCTAAAATATTAAGTTTTATTGAGAGTTTTATTAAGTTAAGTTCAGCAGGCCCAACAGCCCCAAAATCCCAGACCAAATGTCCGCTGATGTGTAAAAAAAAGCCTACGCATCGCCATGGCGATGGCGAGATTTTGGCGATGGCGAGACAATGGCGTCGCCATGTGTATACTCAGCGCCACGGCCTATTTTATGGCGCAGAGGCCATTTCCGTGCCTCATGGCGCATGGCGTAAGTGCCATGGCGCGCCATTGACATGTAATATATTTTACCTTTTATGGTTGAATTTGCTGAAGAGGGCTAGTTTAGTTTATGTTTTACATGTAACTTTTATTAATTCTATAAATAAATTGTATTTTAAATATAATTATTTCATTATGCAGTATGTTCAGTCATTTCATCCAATTTGAGCACATTTAGAGAGACACTCTATTTTTGTGTTGCCTCCGTTCCATAAAATATTTTCCACTTTACTTTTTGAACCGTCCCAAAAAATAGTTCACATTTCCGTTTTTGGAAAGTTTTGTGTGACTTCCATTCATTTACGTTTTTCTTACTCAACCACAACCATACATTTCCACTTTATTCTCACTTTCTTAAACTCCGATCCAAATCCTAGTGGGAACTATTTTATGGGACAGAGGGAGTAATATCTAACCCCGTCTTGTTTTTGTCTTTTTATCTGTAGTGCCTTTCGGTCGTACCTATTGAGATATTCAGATGGGTGGTTGCTGGTTTGGCTGGGCTCATGTCTGCGACCTTTGTTGCCCTTAACCTTAGGACACACATTGTTTCTGCTGGGGAGAGGTGGTTCTTGATTGTGGCTGGTATCTTTCTGTTACAGCTTGCTCTTGCTTTGGTACTTCGGCTCTACTTGTTCACCGTCACAGTATAAGTGTATAACCCCATCCACCAACCATGTAGTTTAAAAGAGAGACACACACATATGAATGTATCAAAATGTAAGACAATCTATGTATTGATTCAATTTTGTTATTGCACTTTATATACTCAATAATACTATTCATTCAGCCATATAGTTTTGTCCTGGTTTTGTACCTCCCTAATGCCACGGGCCTGTAGTGAGCAGATCTCCAACGGCTACATCGGCCTGTTCACTCGTTGGGCTGATCATCGAGTCCTCAGCACTTTGCCCGAGTTATTAGCATAAAGAAGCATTACAAAACAATTACAGAATCTGAGAAGTTAATATTTGAAAATTATGAACGATCCGTCCTAACTCCTAATAACCCCATCAGAATATATTTGATACTTAACTCTATACAACCATGTCTGATTTAATGAACCGATATGTATTGGGAACTGTTGACACCAGGGAGTATCTGTGTTAGGATAGTGAGTGAAAGTTCAGGGAACCCTACTTTTTTCCAATTTTTTTTTGCATGTATTTTTTTTCTTCATTTTTAAATCTTTTGCTAATGTTTAAATATAGTGTACTTACTTTTCAATCTATTCAAACTCAGATTACTGAATCCTCCCTTGGTAAACACGTTCAATTTTAAGGGGGCGGTTCCACATACGTTGTTAAACAGTGATGGACCGGGCCTGGGTCGGGCCTTGGGCGGGACTGGGTTTGGGAGTTGGAGGCCCGGTACCGGTCCGGGTAGGTTCCGGGCCCGGGTCGGGTCTATATTATATTTTTTTTAAATTTTGTTTTTCTTATTTATTCCAAACCACCCAATCCATTTGAAAAAAAAAACATTTTGGGCCTGAACCGATCTTGGGCCCAGCCAGCCGGTCCGGTCCGGTATCGCACAGTGACAGCCCGGGCCGGGTTCTGGGCTGGTAAGAACCGGACTGGTCCACCCCTATTGTTATATAGACCGGTGTTAAGAACACAAAAGACAAGCTCAAATTGCAGTTTAACATTTTCGATGATTTATGAGTCAGTTCTTGAGCGACCGGTAAAAGTCCAGTGAAGCCTACAATCCAATTTATTTTAAAGAAAGTTTCCGAAATATGACTAAAACGGTTTGAAAATTCCAAAACACGACTCTTATGTTTTTTATTCTCAAAATAGTACTAATTACTGCCATGTTTAGAAAATATTGTCATGTTTGAAATCTGGTACTACCAAAACATGACAGTAATTAGTTCTATTTTGGAAATAAAAACATGACAATCCTGTTTTGGAATTTTCAAACTGTTTTAGTTCTATTTCAGATAATATTCTCTTTATTTTATCTATAAATTGAATACATATTCGTACAGTTAATCTCCATGTTTTTGGGTACGATGGTTGGTTGTTGTGTTGGTCAATACTCGGTTGTACAGTTGAGATCCGTGCACAGTTGCATGACACAAACCTTCTTTCTATTCACTCAAGATGAAATATTTTTCACTGGAATATTGATATATTTTTGTTGAGAAAATCATTTTTTATCCCTTGTTATTCCAAAATCTTCTATACTGTCCTCTATCTTTTACTCCCTCCGTCCCGAAATAATCGTCCTATTTTGACCTTCACACAGATTAAGAAAACAAATTTGACTTCACACTGTAACGACACTGTTTGACACTGTTTTGTATAGATTTGTTTACCAAATAAGGAAAGGAGACAATTATTTCAGGACGGACCGAAAAGGAAAGCAGGACAATTATTTCGGGACGGAGGGAGTAATTTTTTGAAAACCAGACCCATTATTTGTTCATTTAGACATTTAAGTTGTGAAGTGATAGTTTCAGTCGTGGCCTTGTTTATACCGAGTTAAAATCAAGACTAGATTATTGAACTCAATATTAAAGACTGAAAGACATGTAAGCCTATATATGCACCCGTAATGTCATACTCCGTATTAAACAATTTAATGAGTTTGCATAAAAATGCACATATAAAATCAACAAAATCTCTATTCATCCCAAACCAAGCAGAATAAGTTATACTACATTATATTGTGCAAAAACGGCGTCTGAAATCAGATGCCATGAGACCACATAAACAGTCGGTGATTGTTCAAAAGGCTTTGTTTCTGGTTCAGAAGCTTATACTAATGTCTATTTCGACTTTTTCCCTTTGTCATTTGGGATGCTCTTGAATGGAAGGAAAGTCACACCATCCATGAAAGGTTGCAATACTTCAGGGACCTCCACCCCATCCTCCCTTTGGTAGTTCTCAAGGATACAACACAATGTCCTCTCTGTTGCTGTCAGGGTTGAGTTCAACAAATGAACATATTGTTTAGCCGACTGCTCGTTTCCCTGTTCGACAAAAAACATGGAAATGAAGAAGGTGAGAATGTTGGAAAGGCACCAACCTAAACCCTTAACCATCACTGACATTCCTTGCATATGCTCAGCAGCATGATAAAAAAAGTAAAATTGGAATAGCATAATTTTAAAGGCCTCAAATGATTAAATACTTCCCTTAGTTTGTATAATTTGGTCAATTTTGCCTCCTAAATAAAGACCAAAGAGGATATTTAAGAGAAAGTTTGTAGGGAGAATGGTTAAAAACTGAAGCTCAGATCCCACCTTTTTCTGCCCATAACGAATTTCCAATTTCCTTGATTGGTAATCGGTGCAGTTTGAGCATGAAACAAGTTCTCTGTATGTGGCAGAAGCAGGAAACCATCCCTCTAAATCATACTTTTTTGCAGCAGCATCATTTAATGCACCGGAGACAATTGAAACTACTTGATAGGGAATCTTTAGCTGCAACAAAAAAGAATTCAAAGTGAGTGTATATTTCTCAGTCATTGCCTGATATGCAAATCTGCCATGAAGTAAAATCTTTAAAATGAATACATGACCCCTTTCCTCAAAAATCACAATAGAAACAGATTACAAAGCCAAAAGCATGCAGCAACAATTCTGACCTGTTGGAAGAAGTCCTCTGAGTTCTTGAGCATCTCCTCATGCATGTCCCAGGAGTCATTTCCATTCGGACTGGTGATACAAAATTGCTCAACTTTTTCAAATTGGTGAACACGGAAAATGCCAAGGGTGTCGCGTCCGTGTGAACCAGCTTCTTTACGGAAGCATGACGAATATCCAGCATACCTAAAAAAGAATGAAAATAAAACACTATTTGAATCCAGTAATGAAGTACATTACGAAAGAAATTTCTTCCGTACCAGCCTACAGGCTATCAGATTCATAGCAAAATGTTGGTACCTTAGTGGCAGTTTCGAGGGGTGGATCCAATCATCCATATGATAAGCACAGAGAGGCTGTTCAGCTGTTGCAATAAGATATTTATCCTCTCCCTCACCAGTGACCTATTGGAAGACAGTTGACTATAACAATCAGATAGTTCATCACTTCATCACATAAAAATTTAGAAAAATAATACTACCTCCGTCCCGGTGGACTTTGTCAAGTGCAAAGTTAGTGAGAAATAAGAATAGTAAAAACTGTGTGGTTAAGATTTGTGCAGAGGAGAGAAAAATGTGCAGAACCACAAATTAGTTGCTTTAATAGGAAAGTGGCAAAGTTTTTTGGGACAACCAAAAAAGAAAAGTCGGCAAAGTCCAATGGGATGGAGGGAGTATTCCATAACAACAAAGGGGAATACAAGTGTTCAACTAGAGTATCCCTTTACTGAGCAAAACTATTTGATATATCTATGGAAGAAGACCTGAATACCCAATATATAAAGAACAATCTCAAAACTTGCCTTATAAAGCTCTTCATCAAATTGTGCAAGTTGAGCACATTTTCCCATGATATCTTGCCTCATAAAGAATGGAGTATGTAATCGAGAATACCCCCTTGTTTTCAAAAAACGAAGTGCAAAAGAGATTAATGCTTGGTTTAGATCAACGCCATCATCTTTCAGATAGTAACCTCTACCTCCAGCAACATTTGCACCTATATATGTATTAAATTATTAAATTACTGAAAAATGAGGAATGACATGAATTGCAAAGATGTTATTGGCAATGTTGTCAATAGCGTGCTATAACAGCATAGCGGAGTGGAGGAAGGGTTGAGCGCTACAAGACCACCTGTACCGTTGTGTTTGACTCTAGTGGGAGTAGCGGCCACTATAGCGGTCACTATAGCAGGAGTAGCGGATGCTATAGCGGCACTATTTTCTTTTCTTTGCTGCAGTTAGGGTTTTTCTGGGCTAAGTTTTGTTTTCTGAGGTATCAAGGGTAAAACAGATTTTTAAAAGAAATAGTATCCACCGTAAAAACCTTTTACACACTACTGTTGCAACTGACACCTGATATGATGACAAGTATGTGGTTCTCTTCTTAAAGAACAAGTGAACAACCTCTGCAGCTTCATCTTCTACAAGAACGACATCTGCTACACTACTCCTATTTGCTTCTTTTGAGTTATATTTTCTCCTTCATCCTCTACGAGAACTACCTCTGCTGCACGCCTCTTCTTTTCTTCTTCTAAGTAGCATCTTTCTGTAATAGTATGGTATGTTTTGTTCATGACACAATGGAGTATTTTGTTGGTAATTACTACCTCCGTCCCTTAAAACTTTGCCAAAGTTGACTGGCACGGAGAATAATAAAGTAAAAACTGTGTGGTTGAGATTTGTGAAGAGGAGAGAGAAATAACAGAAACCACAAAATAATTTATTAAAAGGGAAAGTGGCAAAGTTTTTTGGGACGTCCCAAATGGAAAGATGGCAAAGTTTTAAGGGACGGGGGGAGTAGGATTTATGAATGTCAAGATGTTTGGTACTTTGATTACTTTCAGCAACATTAATCATTCCTTTTTATTTGATGTGTATACAATGTAATTCTATGCATACATATCATCTGTATTTTGCATATATATATTCTCTGAATAGCGGTCATCCCACTATCCGCAATACCGTTATAGCGTTTTGAGGGCTGGCCGCAACGATCTGCTATCCGGGATTGACAACACTGGGTATTGGACATAAATGGATGGATTGATAGTTTTAAATAGCTCGCAAGTATATGATGTCACAACAACAACAACCAAGCCATAGTCCCAAAAGATGAGCCAGCTAACATTAATTGATACATGATATCAGGAGGCAAGTATATAATGTCAAAGTTGCAAAAATATTGTGCACCCCAAATTGTACCAAAAAATCAATACCTTTCTCCAAATCAGCAATTCCAAGAAGCTTCACAAGCTCAACATGGTTTTTGAGCCCCGGTTCAGTTCTCTTATCGCCCCAATGACGAATGATAGCATTATTGTCCTGGAAATTATTCTTGACATAAACCCAGGGAAACAGTTTTCAATCAGGAAAATGATTATACAATAAGGAGATAGTAACAAACCTCATTATTGCTAACTGGAACTGAGTCATGCACAAGATTTCCAATACTTTCAAGTTTTTTATATAGTTCTGCCTGGGCTACTTGCACTTCTTCTTCTTTTTTTGCAGTCAATTTCTTGTTCTCTTCAGTACTCTTAATTAACTCACTTGCATCTTGTTTTGCCTTGAGCACATCGAAGTGAATGAGTTAGTACTGAGTACAAATAAAAGAACGTGGGTAAATCAATAATGAATATTCTTAATCACTACCAAATATGAGCATTCAAGCGAATCTCTAACAAATATGGAAGCCAAGGATTCTATGAAAGAATTGTGATTGGGATTACACAGACATGCAGGGGTAAAAATATGCATCAGCCTACCCACATGGATTACCCTGGCAGCACACCTAGATAAACAAATATCTTAACTGGCGTTTTAAGCTGCATCATGCCTTTCACATGTTTTAAATTTCCAGCATATTGATTGGAGATTTCTATTGCTCTATTTACTAGTTGAGAAACAGATACGATTCTTATAAACATAACAATAACTATGAAGTGATCTATAGTCTATACATTAACACGGATGAAAATAAATGAAACTTTAAAAATCAGGGACACGATCCTAGTCAGTAGCAAACATCAGGAAAATAGTGAATGATCACATTATTACCTATCATGCCTAGCTATCAATATTTGAATACATTATAGCAGTAGGAAGATGTTTAAAAAAGGGAGATTGCACAGAATAAATTAAACTCAGTATAGTATTAGGCCTGACTTACTATCTTCAGCTTGGCTACTTCTTTGTTGATCTTGTTGAACTCTTTACGCAAATTGTCAAGCTCGAATTGACCTATATAAGAGCTCCCCAAGATTCAATTTTTTATTTCAAGATACCATGCAGTAGTATATTTTATGGATTGAGTCTAAATGTTAGCAGAGAAAGACAGTTCACATACGCTGACGCCACTCTTTGTCGAGATTAATGACCTCGTCAACCACACCAGGGTCAGCAAAACGCCTCCTTTGAGATTCTCGGATGACTTCAGGGTTGAAGCCCTTGTCTTCTCGAAATAGATTTGGGTCCAGCATTTTTTCCCTTACCGCTTTGCTCTGCAGTTCAGATTTCAGAGTAGAACAAACAATTGATTACAAAAGATTACATACACATATAAAATGGCAAATCTATATATGATAAAAGAGACGGTACATGGAGATCGGAGAGGGAAAGCAGAAACTGGACTGCTAGCTGAAAGTAAAGGAGAAGATATGCCCGGGCTCCGCTGATAAGTTTTAGGGTTCAGTTGACAAGATTTTGTCCTTCTGTCAGTGTATTTAGAATGATTTCAGAAGAAGATTTATAAAAGGGAGAAGATGCACCAAATTAACCACAAGCCCTGTGGGCTACGGTGTGGTCGTGTGGACAGTGAACTTGGAGAAATATCATGGATTAACAAATTCCTCCCCACTTCTTAGTTTGAGTTAACAAATTTATCAATCTTTCAAAAAAAATCAATCAAAATAATTTATGTATTATATATCCAAATAAGTGTAAAAATTATGATAAAAAGAATTGACAATGAATAAAAATTATCATGTTTTATAATTTTAAAATATGGAACTTTGTTTTTTTCTAAAAGTAATTAATTAATGTCATTTTGGTAAAGATATGGCAACAAAATCTCAAGATGGAAGTATGTTACTCTTATGCAAGGGAAAAGTGAATACTACATACTCGTATTACTTGGAAAGTATATTCTGAAATCTTAAAATATTTTGTCTCCTATTTTAAAAATTTCCTGGTCCCCCATTAACATTGTGCTTTTTTATAGAGGTAAAAACACGAACAAAATGTATAAATAGGAATATCGTTGTCTTCTTCTTAAAATATGACTCATTTACTCTTTATTATTTTTATTTTAAATAGGATCAAACAAATCCTATTTTGAGAATAATAAAAATAATTGGTCCTGCAGCCCAAAATCGCTACCACCCACCCACATATAAAAAGACCGTCCTAACAAGTATATGGGCTTCACGATTCACGAATTGTGTATGGTATTAGATAAAATATGCTATCACAAATGCGATAATAAAATTAGAAATGTCAAACATAATTTTGAGATATATTAAATGAGAAGTAACATAATTCAAGGACAACAAAGATGTTAAAACTTGTAAACTTTTAAATTTAACAAATTAATTAGAAGTTTTGATGGTTCGATTAGCGAATAGTGAATTATATTAACGGGCGAAATCAGCCATTGGGTTGTTAATAGTGAATTCTATTAGTACATTGGACTAGCAGAATGAGTTTACATGATGCAAAAAGATATTTAATAGTTTATCCGTTTGACAGTAGCGATTATTTCGTAATGTCATGCTTCAAAATACCTACTCAAAAAATGATAGGGCTGAATAATTATTTATCAAACAACATTTTCACTTTAATTTATCAAACAATATGATCAATTTATCAAAATAGACGTATGACTCCATAACGAAATGTCTCCTTAAAAGCACTCCATTCATATATTAGTGCACAACTTCCTAATCCCATGTTGTACTCAAATTTTCCTCTTCAGTCCTTCCATTCATTGTCTGTATGTTTTCTCTTAAAGGTAGTGGATCTAAAGCTTTGGGCACATAATAAAAATGTGCACCGTCGCGGCTGAAGATTTATCATCGTGTTGGTGAATTGTTACAGATGATAATCTAAATCTGGTTTCCGTTATGGTATATTCGGCGTTTTTGGGTGTTTCTGTCTTCGCTAGCTTTGGCCAGACGGGTGCGGTGACTACTTGGATGGGTTGTGTGAGTCGGAACTGCCACAGTTCAAGTGCTGAAGATCACTATGGAGGTTGATGGAGCCGTATCAAAAACGGCTCTGCGGAGGCTACTGGATCAACACTGTTTAGATTCTTTTAGATCTTGTGAGCGGGATGCTTCCTTTGGAGATTGTTGGGCAAACCTCTTCTCCGTTCCTGATGGTTGATAAAATCGGAATGACGTCTTTGGATGTAGCTGATCAAACATCTTCTCCCTTGCTGGTGACTAGAAAATCAGGATATTTGTTCTTTTCGTTTTAATAACTAGTTATATGTTCATTTATTTTAGTAGCAAGTACAGGGGCGCTGTTAGATTAACCTACCATAATGTGGGATTAGCGATCATGACGGGTTCTAGGAACTTATCAGTGCTATGTCTCATATCTCTGAGCAAATAAAAATGCAAATCAATAGGTCACTTTTGATCCGATTAACTCAAATTTCCACATTAAATTTGTTTTACCATAACCTGTTAATAACTCGTGCGATTTCGAGAATTATAAACATCTCAGTCTCGTTTTTTGACCACATATTATTGGATGATTATAAATTAAAGTTGTGATTTTTAATCAAAAACTAATAAATCTAGACCGGAATTGTCTAATTTCAACCCATGAAAAACTAGCTAATCAAATTTTTCTGTAGCAAAATGACTTGAATCAATGTCTACTGGAAGTCTAGTAGTGAATGCATGTCCGGGATGTATGTACACAGGCTATGGTAGTCAGGGGCGGAGCCAGACTTTTGTATTGGGGGGGGGGGGGGGGGGGGAGCGAGAATATAATACAAGTATTAACATATAAATTACAACAATATCATAGCAAAAATAGACAATCTTTATTCTTTAACACTTTATATAACTAATTAGTTATATAATAATGATGCAATTTCACTATAGGTTGACTGGTTGAGCATGTTATTATTTTTTATTCATTTCATCACTTATTAAATTAATTAATAACTTATAAACAAAATTATTAAATTAATTGATAACTTATAAACAAAATTAACCAATTACTAGATTAAATGACACCAAAATCACATACTCGTATGACTCATGACTGTATTATCGATTATTGCCTATTGGAGTTTGCTATCTTCGAACCGAAGTAAAATCATACACTGTGTATTTTAATAAATTACATTTAATAAATTACAATATTTTATTAAATCATATACTATTACCCCAAAATAAAGTAAAATACCTGAAATCCGCTGATTCGAACGTACATTACAAAGAGTGCGATGAGCAAGAGAGCAAGGCAGTCCACTAGTCTAGCGCCCAGATTTGTCCAAGTTGAAAGAGATGGACTGCGGTCTCACCGGTGGGCGGTGGCGGTCTGTGACTCTGCGTCTGCGGCGTTCTCTCGTCTTCAGTCTTCCCCAGTAAAAAACTTTGAAAATTCTAAAATATGATTGTCATGTTTTTGTTCCCAAAATAGAGTAATTACTGCCAAATTTGGAAAATACTGTCATGTTTAAAGTCTGATACTGCCAAAACATGACAGTAATTAGTCCTATTTTGAGAATAAAAACATGATAGTCCTATTTTGGAATATACAAACGTTTTTAGTCCTATTTTCGGTAATTTTTCAAATTTATTTCAATAATAGACTCTATCACTCTAAGGCTTTACACGATGACGTTAAAACTTTAAGATTTGTGCTTTTAGTATCCTAACCTCTGTACCATTGGTATATTGGTATCCTTTTCTGGGAGTTAGTAGGTTACCGTTAGTAGGCCACCTCTTAGGATGTTTTTACTTGGACTGTAATTTGCTTGTCTGGTCTGTTTTGGTCTGATCTGGTCTGTTTTGGTCTGGTCTGTTTTGGTTTGGTCTGAAATTATATTTTTCATATTTTTTGCATAAAGATTTTATTTTTTATATATATTTTAAAATCCATAAATAATTATATTTTATTCATTTACAATTAAAAATAATAATATTCCTTCCAAATTATCGAAAATTGTTATCGTTTTACTTGGTCTGATTTCAATCCCGGACCAAAGAAGATCAGACCAGACCAGACCAAAACAGACCAGACCATATCGAACCGGAATAATAATTATAATAAAAATAATAGTAATAATAATAATAATAATAATAATAATAATAATAATAATAATAATAATAATAATTGTTGGATTATTGACCCGAAGGCCCAATACCCGGATCAAACAGGCCCAGGATACCCGGCCCAAACAATGAGTCCACTACCTTATGATGAGTAGATCCAATGAAGAATTCATACAGAACTGGGTTCGATCCCAGTAAAGGCCGGCCCAGAAAGAAGGTATGTCGAACGGAGTTCGGACTATATATCATACTTGGGCCAATTTGGCAGCGTTTTCAGCACGGTTCAACATCTCGTTCGAGCAATGGACAACCAGCAAGTGGCCAGGTGCAATTAATGCCAGATTGTGATATCAGCAAGTGGAAACATGGATGACCATGTCGGTGGAACAACAGCCAATCAGCATAGAGCAGCCCATGCTCTACATTAGTATAAATAGAAGGTTTAAAATCATTGTAAGGGTTAGCATTTCAATACTCAAGCTCTAGAATATAATTATTACTCTTGTTTCTTGTATTAAAGCATTATTCCGACCTACCGATCGGGAATTTCCTTGTAATCAGACAGGTTAATTAATACAAGTGAGTTTCTGGGTATTAGTGAGTTTCATATTTTATATTTTATTATACACTTTGATTCTGGTACATTCCTGATATATCCAAAGTTCGTGTTGGGCTTTCGGATCTACGGGACTTACCTTCAACATTGGCACCGTCTGTGGGAAACGAACCCACGACCACGTGGTTAAAAGCCAGGGATGAGGCGAGAAAGCAAGGGAGGGAAAGTACCTGAGCGACGAAAGCTGGAAGAAATTTCAGAGAGCAGCAAGGCGAAGAAAATTGCAGAATCGAAAGCCGAATTTGAAAAGTTAAAGGCTAATTTATAGCCTTTGAACCGCCGTGTCAAGAACCAATCAGGGAGCGACACGTCACTAGAAGCATTTAAGCTAAACGTGTGTCTAATGAAAAGACTAAACGACGGTTATCATGATGAATATGGGGAAATAAAACGACAGCCGTCAAATCACAGTATGGGGAACTAATTACTTCTGTACCCCGATCGTCATTCGGAAAATTGCAACATTGGTATACATACTTCCTAATGCACTCACTATCATTCGAGACATTGGAAGTGAGGGACTTGTGTTGGGTAATTGAACTGGAGGCCTAATACCCAGATCAAACAGGCCCAGGATACCCGGTCCAAACAATGAGTCCACTACCCTATGATGAGTAGATCCAGTGAAGAATTCATACCGAACTGGGTTCGATCCCAGTAAAGGCCGGCCCAGAAAGAAGGTATACCGAACGGAGTTCGGACTATATATCATACTTGGGCCAATTTGGCAGCGTCTTCAGCACGGTCCAACACCCCGTTCGAGCAACGGACAACCAACAAGTGGCCAGGTGCAATTAATGCC